AACTATGTAAATGTATGTATGTGTGATAATAGGTTATGTGATTTCATGAGATGAAATATACGTGAAAGTGATATACTTATATGTGTTATACTAGAATGTTACATGATATGCTATGTATGCTAAATAAGTGATGTGAATACATATTAGTGTAATAAGCTAGGTTAAATGTTATAACTGAATGAAGGGATTGTATGAGAATATGTATATACGAACATGTGTTATGAGATAAGAATCCTGACTATGAGCTATGTGAAAAAGAATACAAGTAAAGGTGAAAAGCTATGTGATAAGTGAATGTGAGTTACATGGAAATATGCTATGTGAAAGTGAACTATGTGCCTACGTGAATATGTGAAAAAATATAAAAGGTAATGCCCATGTCATGTTATGAGAGCTATAGTATAGTTGGCATTCCAAGAGTCGAGGGATTATCAGTGGTCCTTCGGGACACAGTGGTCCTACGGAACAAATTTCTACACGCCCTTAGTGGGATTTATACGAGCTGTGGTGACCGCATTGTTGTAACACCCCTAACCCGTATCGACCTGGATCCGAGTCTGAAGTGTCACATCAACTTTTAAACCTTTACTGGTTCAAAATAATGAAAAATCCCCATTAAATAAAACTTCATATCATTTCAAAATAAAAAGGTTTCTCACTTATCAGAGAACATACAATTCAAATCATTTATATTACATGCCAACTACATCTAAAATAATAAAATACATATCAAACTTTTCTTTTCTGATCTGAACTTTGTAAGGAAGATGCTGACCTGTCTTGCTCCCCTTAACTTCTCTTCGCGCTTTCCGAAACCTACATGTGAGACACTCATACGCTAAGCCGAAGACTTAGTGAGGCATATAAAACTCATAATTGAAACTCTAATTCCTAACCATGCATGAACATATCATACAATAATATCATACAAATCAATATAACATTTCATATAATCACATGCATACAAATAGATAAATCTTATCCTAATTATCAATAGCCTCATTTCAAATCAATATTTCATCCATTTATATCTTTTAGTTATCTATTCTTATACTTAACTTCTTAACAATCATATCATTCATTTAACAATTAATATATTCGACATTATATAACATATATTACATTTCACATATCAAAACAGGTACATTACATATCATGTATTTGTTTGTATTTCTTTATTAGTCCATGTACACCTATGAGAACTATAGATATGTGAGTCTATAGAGGTTGTACACAAATGTTGTCACCACAGCTCGTATAAATGCACCGAAGTGCCACTTAGAATTGCACCAAAGTGCCGCGTAGAATTGCACTGAAGTTCCGTATAAAATGTCCCTAAGGACCACGTAGAAAATTCCTTAAGAATCATATACATATACAAAGGATAAAGTATGTGTCTCAAAATACATCACACATGTTCCAAGGAATACATATATATCCCGAAGGACAGCGTAGACCCTCGACTCTTGGCATGCCAACTATACCCTAGCTCTCATGACACATAACATGGGCATTATTATTTATGTCATTTCATATTCACACATTCATAACACTTATCTCTTATCGCATGTCTGATCTCTTATAATCATGTAATCACATAGCTCATGTCATTTCTTGTGACATCATACATATCATGTAAGACATAACAGACATGTTCACACAAATCACTTCCATATAATTCACATGATTTATTATCTCGTAGATCATATCACATTTTCACACAATTCCACAAATCATTGTCATATATGGATATCACATTTGTACTTAATCACATAGATAATATTATATAGCACTAAAATCCCACAGTTCCTATTTCGTAGCTTATATATTGTTCTTATATCTTTTTATAGACATATAAAAACCTATATCATAATTCCCTAATTTATTGTACATAATCATATCATCATTTATATTCATAACACCTAGCTCATATTTTGTTCTCTTATGCTTACCTAGATCATATAACATATATTGTAGCATACTAACATATATTACTTATATAAATTCATTTATATACAAATTTCTTATATTCTCTTAATTAAAGTTTACATTACTCATATAACATTTTCTATGACTTCATAGATCTTTACCATGTAATTTCTATATCATAGCTCATCTAAGCACATTAATCTTTCTCATACAACTTATCTCTCATATGATTATCATTATTTATGTACAGATCTCCTAATTGATATTCTATTTTCATATTTTCCTATAAATCAATGCTAGTTAGTTTATCTCACTTTTCATTTAATACTATAAGTAAATTATAATAGTTTCCATAAACTTGACTCATATAATTTCTGTTTTGCTATTATATCTTCATCTAAACATATATTTACATGTTCATGATCACTTAACTTATTTCCTTCCTATGGTTATCACCTATAACATTTACTATTATACATGATTCGTGACTTTATAACTTAATTCACATATTCATACAGCTCAAAAGGTTCACATATAGTTACATATTTCGTTTCGAAATAACCCATATCATATAAATTCACACCTCATAACATATAATATGAACAAAGCATATACACATAGTACAAACTTAATCATGCTTCCATTCATGCAAACATATAAAATATTGGAAACAGACTTATTACAAGTCTAATTTCCATATAATACTATACACAATCTAATAATATGCACTCACCATGGCCTCACTAAGTTCCAATCCACTTTTATGATTTTCTCTCTTTCGATTGAATCTTAACTTGATACTCATTCCAGAACTTGTTCATGTTCGATATCTACATAATCATACATTAATACATATCAGTATCTTATTGATATACTCTAATCTATCATTTCTTACACCAAAAGAAATGTCTATTTCAATTTCCCCTTGAAGTGCATCGATGCATTCTACAGTGCATCGATGCATTCTACATGCATCGATGCATCCCTTAACATGTGCATTGATGCATTCCTTATGCATCAATGCATTAATTACATTCGATGTTTCCATTTTAAGGGGTGCATCGATGCACACTGAACAATTTCTGGAAATTTACACTTGATGCATCGGTGCACATTGAATGTGCACGATGTACATAGCCCAGAATTCATTTTTAAGCCCGAAAATCTACTCAAATCAACTCAAATGCTTCATCTTTCATCCCCTTTCATGTTCTCAACTCATATACACATGCTTAAACCAATTTATATCCATATAAACCATCTCTAACTTCAAAATTATACTCCTCATATGTAACTCAAGAATTAAACCAACTTTGCAATATGTTTTGATTCCAATTCTATGGCTTCTAACTTCTTAATTAGACCCTTGTCAAGTCAAATTTAACTTCTAACTCTAGTTATGAACTCTATTTCAAGATTTTTCCCAAGAACCTCAAATCTTTAATCCCTCCTAACTCTATCATACTTTGATTTTAAGATAACTTAAGCTTTCCTTAAGGTTAGTTATCAGCTAATAATCAAAACCCAACCTTACAATCAACAATTAATCCATAAACAAAGAAACTCACCTTTGAGCTTGGAGATACGGGAGGAGGAAGAAGAAGAAAGAAAACTCTGGATAATTCTCTCATTTCCCACGTGGTTCCTTATCTTATAAAAGGAATATAAAATCTTACTTGTCAATTGACCATTTTACCCTTTAATTCATTCAATAATTACTAAATAACCTTCATCATATTTCCAATAAATCATTGAACTATTCAATTATCCTACTTTAATCACCAATTTTTGAAACTTTACAATTTAGTCACTAACCCGGTATTGAGGATGTTACAAATCTCCCCTCTTTAAAGAAAATTCGTCCTCAAATTTTCACTAAACATATTAATAAGAACATATCTTCTAATGTTCTCATGTTACCTCCTTTACTTAATGTTTCATTCCTTTAGTTCTTCAACTACTTTTTTTCCTTATATATATTCATCTACTGTCACTTATCATATAAATAGTAACTAGTAACTTTAATCCATTTTTGTCTTTTCTCTCCTTCCATTATGCATTTTCCTTTGACCATTTCTGAGATTTCATATAATATCACTAATCATGTAGACAGTAACATCCTTTTTCATTATTTAACCTCATAAATCCATCTTTAATTATCTTATAACAATAACCAACTCATTTTCCAGCATCATTTGACCGAGAATACAACATTAGATCTTCTTTAAATATAATTAAATATTCACTTTAAAGAATCTTTTCACATCACCTTGCACACTTTTCTCATTTCTATATCAAAATTATCATCTACACTTCCATATAAACTTATGTATCTGATCCTTTAAATCAATCCTTTCATTTCTTTATTCCCTTATTCCTTTATTTATTCCTTATACACAAATCATATATTTCCTTTCATGTTCACATACTCTTGTCCTATCACCGATACTCATCTCTGTGTACTAATCTTCATTGCATCCTCATAACTTTAGATTTGATCCTCATAACTTTGGTAACCCCATTTATTTATATAGAACTTCCTTCTTTATCATTTCTTATACTTCCAGTACATTCCCATCACATATTCTTGTTAGCCAACGCTAACTTTTTCCTTTTAGAATGCAAAATAGTATCTACATCACTTGATCCATTTAAAATACTTCTTATTATTCACTTTGTATAATTCCTAGCAAAACTCTAAAGTTATCCCTCCAATTTGATCTTTTAACTTAGAATACAACCAATTCCAACCAAGTTTGTAGTTGAAAATCATAATCTCTATCTCTCTTCGATAGTGCTGATTTATGAAATACTAGTTCCCTTAATCATTCTGAGTTCTCTTCAGAACCTTAACACAATAACCACTTTTTGAAAAGGGAACCATTTCAACACCTATAGCACTACTTTTAATCTAGGCACTAGCCCTCTACACATCACTTGCATGCATCATTTTCATTTAAATTAGCTTCACAACCTTTCACTCAACTCATCAAACTGTACTCTTGTTCATACACATTATGATTTCCCTCTGTATCAAACTCATAAACTCTGGCTTCATATACCTTATACACTTGTCACTATTACACTTATTCTTGAATTTTTCTACTAATTCTCACTTCATCATTGATCTTTGAACGTTTTTATGGTGACACTGATTCACCATAATCTATCTTATCCATGAAATAATAAGAATACTTCACCTCACTTTTACGATTCAAACCTGTGAAAACCTTCTATCACTATCCTAATATGATTTCAACTTTCTAAAATCAATCTTTGATCTTACGAGGCACTTCCTAAGGTGTCCGCTCTTCCTCTGCTGGCCAGGGCAGGTGAATTGCTATCACGATCAGGAATATCGCCTCTCACTTCACTTCGAAACTATTATAATCAGATTCTACTATATCATACTAATATTATTCTATTAACAAGACAGTACACTCTTTACACAGTTCAGATCAGAAATTATTGACTTGGTGTTGGCATGTACACATTTAACTTCGGTTTAAGCCTAGAATCGGCTAAACCTTAGCTCGATACCATTAAATGTAACACCCCCAACTCGTAGCCGGCCCGAATCTGAGTCTGAGGTGTCACATCAACTTTTAAACCTTTACTGGTTCAAAATAATGAAAAATCCCCATTAAATAAAACTTCATATCATTTCAAAATAAAAGGTTTCACACTTATCAGAGCACAACAATTCAAATCGTTTATATTACATGCCAACTAGATCTAAAAGAATAAAATACATATCAAACATTTCTTTTCTAATCTAAACTTTGTAAGGAATATGCTGACCTGTCTTGCTCCTCTTAACTTCTCTTCGCGCTTTCCGAAACCTACGTGTGAGACACTCACACGCTAAGTCGAAGACTTAGTGAGGCATATAAAACTATAATTGAAACTCTAATTCCTATCCATGCATGAACATATCATACAATAATATCATACAAATCAATATAACATTCCATATAATAATATGCATACAAATAGATAAATCGTATCCTAATTATCAATAGCCTCATTTCATAATCAATATTCCATTCATTTATATCTTTTAGCTATCTATTCTTATACTTAACTTTTTAACAATCATATCATTCATTTAACAAATAATATATTCGACATTACATATAACATATATTACATTTCACATAGCAAAACAGGTATTACATATCAAGTATTTGTTTGTATTTATTTATTAGCCCATGTACACCTATGAGAACTATAGATATGTGAGTCTATAGAGGTTGTGCACAAATGTTGTCACCACAGCTCGTATAAATGCACTTAAGTGCCACGTAGAATTACAACGAAGTGCCACGTAGAATTGCACCGAAGTGCCATATAAAATGTCCCTAAGGACCACGTAGAAAATTCCTTAAGAATTATATACATATACAAAGGATCAAGTATGTGTCTAAAAAGACATCACACATGTTCCAAGGAATACATATATATCCCGAATGACAGCGTAGACCCTCGACTCTTGGCATGCCAACTATACCCCTAGCTCTCATGACACATAACATGGGCATTATTATTTATGTCATTTCATATTCACACATTCATAACACTTATCTCTTATCACATTCTGATCTCTTATAATCATGTAATCACATAGCTCATGTCATTTCTTGTGACATCATACATATTATGTAAAACATATCAGACATGTTCACACAAATCACTTCCATATAATTCACATGATTTATTATCTCGTAGATCATATCACATTTTCATACAATTCCACAAATCATTGTCATATATGGATATCACATTTGTATTTAATCACATAATAATATTATATAGCACTAAAATCCCACAGTTCCTATTTCGTAGCTTATATATTGTTCTTATATCTTTTTATAGACATATAAACACCTAGATCATAATTCCCTAATTTATTGTACATAATCATATCATCATTTATATTCATAACACCTAGCTCATATTTTGTTCTCTTATGCTTACCGAGATCATATAACATATATTGTAGCATACTAACATATATCACTTATATAAATTAATTTATATACAAATTTCTTATATTCTCTTAATTCAAGTTTACATTACTCTTATAACCTTTTCCTATGACTTCATAGATCTTTTCCATGTAATTTCTATATCATAGTTCATCTAAGCACATTAATCTTTCTCATACAGCTTATCTCTCATATGATTATCATTATTTATGTACAGATCTCCTAATTGATATTTTATTTTCATATTATCCTATAAATCAATGCTAGTTAGTTTATCTCACTTTTCATTTAATACTATAAGTAAATTATAATAGTTTCCATAAACTTGACTCATATAATTTCTGTTTTGATATTATATCTTCATCTAAACATATATTTACATGTTCATGATCACTTAACTTATTTCCTTCCTATGGTTATCAAATACAACATTTACTATTATACATGATTCTTGACTTTATAACTTAATTCACATATTCATACAGCTCATAAGGTTCACATATAGTTACATATTTCGTTTCGAAATAACCCATATCATATAAATTCACACCTCATAACATATAATATGAACAAAGCATATACACATAATACAAACTTAATCATGCTCCCATTCATGTAAACTTATAAAATATTGGAAACAGACTTATTACAAGTCTAATTTCCATATAATACTATACACAATCTAATAATATGCACTCACCTTGGCCTCACTAAGTTCCAATCCACTTTTATGATTTCCTCTCTTTCGATCGAATCTTAACTTGATACTCATTCTGGAACTTGTTCATGTTCGATATCTACATAATCATACATTAATAGATATAGTATCCCATTGATATACTCTAATCTATCATTTCTTACACCAAAAGAAATGTCTATTTCAATTTGCCCTTGAAGTGCATCGATGCATTCTACATTGTATCGATGCATCCCTTAACATGTGCATCGATGCATTCCTCATGCATTGATGCATTAATTGTATTCGATGTTTCCATTTTAAGGGGTGCATCGATACACATTGAACAATTTCTGGAAATTTACACTTGATGCATCGGTGCACATTGATTGTGCATCGATGCACATAGCCCAGAATTCATTTTTAAGCCCGAAAATCTACTCAAATCAACTCAAATGCTTCATCTTTTATCCCCTTTCATGTTCTCAACTCATATACACATGCTTAAACCAATTTATATCCATATAAACCATCTCTAACTTCAAAATTATACTCCTCATATTTAACTCAAGAATTAAACCAACTTTGCAATATGTTTTGATTCCAATTCTATGGCTTCTAACTTCTTAATTATACCCTTGACAAGTCAAATTTAACTTCCAACTCTAGTTATGAACTCTATCTCAAGATTTTTTCCAAGAACCTCAAATCTTTAATCCCTCTCAACTCTATCATACTTTGATTTTAAGATAACTTAAGCTTTCCTTAAGCTTAGTTATCAGCTAATAATCAAAACCCAACCTTAAAATAAAAAATTAATCCATAAACAAAGAAACTCACCTTTGAGCTTGGAGATACGGGAGGAGGAGGAGAAGAAAGAAAACTCTGGATAATTCTCTCCTTTCCCATGTGGTTCCTTTCTTATAAAAGGAATATAAAAATCTTACTTGTCAATTGACCATTTTACCCTTTAATTTATTCAATAATTACTAAATAACCTTCATCATATTTCCAATAAATCATTGAACTATTCAATTATCCTACTTTAATCACCAATTTTTGAAACTTTACAATTTGGTCACTAACCCGGTATTGAGGATGTTACAATTGTGCACAACCTCTATGTACTCACATACCTTAAGTTGTCAAAAGAGTGCATGGGCTTTAAAGATAATAAATATGTGTTATGATAATATATATGTTCTTGGTGAAATGATATTTGTGCTATATGACAGTTATAAATGATAAGCTCAGAATCATATGATAATAGAAATGAAGATAATGATAATGAGTGCATATATATTTTGTGATAAGAGATGACATGTGTTTATGTATGATATGACATTAGTATTTATTCATGTATTATTATGTTTTGGAGTTATATTATACGTTTATTTCAAATATATGCTCAGATGATATAATAGAATTAATGACAATGAAATAAGTAATGATATATATGTTAATGATTGGTTCAATAGGTTTGTAATTATGATGTGTATTATATGATATATGTATGCATTTATTAGTTTGCATTGTGAATTTACATGTCTCACTAAGTCTATGACTTAGCGTGTAAGTGTCTTACACGTAGGTGTGGATAAGTCAGAAGATCAAGCTTCGGATCCTTAAAGCAGCATATCACCGCGCAAAGTTCAGATCAAAAATATTTTGTAAAGTGTGTATTGTCATATAATTTAGTATGTTGGCATGTAACTAAGTCATTAAATATGTACGCTCTGATGGAGTCTGTTAAGGTTTTTACATGTTTATGTAAAAGAATTTCTTTATAGAACAGAAGTTTTAAATTTTCAATAGTTTATTTTATAAAAGTATGTGCTTTGACTAGTCAATGTGACACCTCGGATTCGTATCCGTATCGGATACGGGTTGGGGTGTTACATTTAATGCTATCAGAGCTAAGGTTTAGTCGATTCTAGGCTTAAACCGAAGTAAAAAGTGTTTTGAAAAGGTGTACATGCCAACAAAAAGTGAAAGTTTCTGATATGATAGAGTCACGAGTATGATGTTTTATAATAAAGTTATATTTTTATGTATTAGATGTCCCGATTGTGAGAGTCCTCGAAGTGAAAGGAGAAGTAATAGACTTGAGGGTAGTAGCAATTCACCTGCCCTGGCCAGGCATGGTGAAGAGTGAATACCTCTAGAAGTACCAGTGAGAGATCGAGGGTTATTTTTTAGGATGTTAAATGATGTTTTATCACGTTTTCAACCCCCTGCTCCCTCAGCTCCTCGAATGAATATAGATAAAGAATTAAAAGGTTTAGGAGCACTTGAGTTTAAGGGTGAAGCTGAGGAAGATCCAGTTGCTGCGGATCTTTGGTTAAACGATGTCAAGATAATGTTAGATGGACTCCACTGTTCTGATGTGGAAAAATTAGACTGAATAGTTTCCCTGTTAAGGGGTCAAGCTAGAATATGGTAGAACAATGTCACCATGATATTAAGAAACGATCAAGTGACTTGGTTATTCTTCTTGTAAGAATTCAAGCGTAAGTACATTGGTGATCAATATATCAGGCAGATGAAACAAGAATTTTTGAATTTGAAACAAGGGAATTATACAGTGTATGAATATGAATGTGAGTTTAATAAGTTAAGTCGTTTTACTGCTGAACTTATTCCGACCGAGAATGATGTGTGTGACTGGTTTGTAGAGGATTTGTTCCCTAGGCTAAGAGAGTTGTTGATAGCCTTGAATTTATCATCATTTCAAGAAGTGATTAATCGAGCTAAAGCTCTAGAGAGAGCTCAGAATGAAAGATTTAAAGAACAGAAAGTTCAGAAGTTCAAAAGAATTGGTACTTCGTCAAGCTCCTCAATATCAAAGAAAAATAGAGAAGGGGATTCTCCAACTCTGGAGATGTTGGAATCAGATGTTTTTTCTAATAGAATATCAAATTTCAGTCAAGTCAGACAATGTTCATATTGTGGAAAGAATCATACATGAGTTTGTAGAGTGATCTCAGGAGCTTGTTTTAGATGTGGGGATGTTGGACATTTTATTTGAGATTGTCCATTTATAACTGAAGAGACGATACAGAGAGAGAAAGATCTACTGCGGTATCTCAACGAAATAGAGGTAGAGATTGTAGAAGAAATCGATTAAGTCATTCACTCAACATGATATGCAACCCCTGCCCAAGTTTATAATTTAAGGACTGATGAAAATTTCGATGACCCAGAGATTTTGGCAAGTAAATTTTGATATCGTGGTAAAATAGTTTGGTTTTAATAGATTTGGGAATCATCATAGTATTCAGTAAGTGGCAATTAGAAAGATAATTGGAAGATTTGATTAGAAGCAAGAAATAATGAATTGTTAAGAATTACTAGTATATGGTTTCCAAGTAAATAAGTTATATGAAGGTTGTTTATGGAATGAGTAAGAAAGATATAGATCTATTGAGTATCGAATGAGAAATGTATATGAGTATAAGGTTAATAGTAAGGGTAAGATAAGAATTGTTGATTATTATAAAGGATTGCTTCATTTGAGGTAAAGTAAAAATTCGATGACGAATTTTCTTTAAAAAAAGGGGGAGATTTGTAACATCCCGAAATCCGGGTTAGTGACTAAAATGAGAATTTTGAAATTTGGGTATCAATTTAGGAAAATTGAAAAGTTTAAGGATTTAATAAGAATATTTCAGTGTTGGATAAAAGGGTAATTATGAAATGATTATAAGGGTATTATGGTAATTTAGCTTGGAGGATATTTTTATCTCCCTTATTTAGGAAGATAACACGTGAGGATGGGGAGAGTTTTCTGGAAAGCTTATTTCTTCTTCTTCCTTCTTCACGTTGGCTTCTATTATTAAGGGTAAGTTTGATTTTAGTTGTTGCTTTCTTGAATATTAAGTAGGTTTTGATTATTTGGGTGTTATATAAGCTTAAGTAAAGCTTATATAAGCTTAAAACACCAAGAAGAGATAAATAGAAAGGAATTTCTATTAAGAGTTTAGGAATGAACTTTTGTTATAGAAAGGTTTTTGAAGTTCTAAAGATGAATTTGACTTATCAAAGGGTTAATTAAGAAGTTAGAGGTGATAGAATTGAATTAAGAACACATGGAAAATTTGATGAAATTCTTTGATTCAAGAATTATGGTGAATTATGAGAGATGGTGAAGTGTTATAGTGTTATAAGAAGGTTTACATATGTATAAATAAGTTTTAAGGTATAATGAGGGGTTAATAAGTAGAACTTGAGGACAAAGTAAGTCATTTTCGTGCTCAAAATGGAATTTCTAGGTTGTGTGCATCGATGCATCTTCAATGTGTATCGATGCACTTTCAAATAAATAAACATGGAATGCAATTAGTGCATCGATGCATAAGGAGTGCATCGATGCACCCCCTTAAAATGAAAACATCGAAGGTGATTTGTGTACCGATGCATGGGTAGTGTATCGATGCACATGTTAAGGGATGCATCGATACACTGTAGAATGTACCGATGCACTTCAATGGGAAATGGAATAAATCTTTCTTTCAGTCTAAGAAGTGATAGATTATAGTATATCAATTGGATACTAATAGTATAAATATATGATTGTGTAGACATAGATCGAAAGCAAAGTTCAGATAGGTCGGCAGAGTAAGATGCATAAGGAAAACAAGAGCTTAAGAGTGTTAATTAAGACCATGTGAGTACATGATATTAAATGTACGTTATGTATAGGGAATTAAAACTTGCGATGAGACTAATTCTACTATTATGTGATTAGGGTTACTAAAGCATAAACATGTAGTGATATGGTGCTAAATGTATTGTATATGAGTAAATGCATATGTTTAATTGATTAAATGCATCTTTATATGTAAACAATGTAAATGTATGTATGTGTGATAATAGGTTATGTGATTCCATGATATGAAATATACGTGAAAGTGATATGACTTATATGTGTTATACTAGAATGTTACATGATATGCTATGTATGCTAAATAAGTGATGTGAATACATATTAGTGTAATAAGCTAGGTTAAATGTTATAACTGAATGAAGGGATTGTATGAGAATATGTATATGTGAACATGTGTTATGAGATAAGAATCCTGACTATGATCTATGTGAAAAAGAATACAAGTAAAGGTGAAAAGCTATATGATAAGTGAATGTGAGTTACATGGAAATATGCTATGTGAAAGTGAACTATGTGCCTACGTGAATATGTGAAAAGATATAAAAGGTAATGCCCATGTCATGTGTTATGAGAGCTATAGGTATAGTTGGCATGCCAAGAGTCGAGGGATTATCAGTGGTCCTTCGGGACACAGTGGTCCTACGGGACAAATTTCTACGTGCCCCTAGTGGGATTTATACGAGCTGTGGTGACAGCATTGTGCACAACCTCTATGTACTCACATACCTTAAGTTCTCAAAAGAGTACATGGGCTTTAAAGATAATAAATATGTGTTATGATAATATATGTGTTCTTGGTGAAATGATATTTGTGCTATATGACAGTAATAAATGATAAGCTCAGAATCATATAATAATAGAAATGAAGATAATGATAATGAGTGCATATATGTTTTGTGATAAGATATGATATGTGATTATGTATGATATGACATTAGTATTTATTCATGTATTATTGTGTTTAGGAGTTATATTATACGTTTATGTCAAATATATGCTCAGATGATAGAATAGAATTAATGACAAGGAAATAAGTAATGATAAATATGTTAATGATTGGTTCAATAGGTATGTAATTATGATGTGTATTATATGATATATGTATGCATTTCTTAGTTTGCATTGTGTATTTACATGTCTCACTAAGTCTATGACTTAGCGTGTAAGTGTCTTACACGTAGGTGTGGATAAGTCAGAAGATCAAGCTTCGGATCATTAAAGCAGTATATCTCCGCGCAAAGTTCAGATCAGAAATATTTTGTAAAGTATGTCTTTTCATATAATTTAGTATGTTGGCATGTAACTAAGTCATTAAATATGTACACTCTAATGGAGTCTGTTAAGGTTTTAACATGTTTATGTAAAAGAATTTCTTTATAGAATAGAAGTTTTAAATTTTCTATGGTTTATTTTATAAAAGTATGTGCTTTGACTAGTCAATGTGACACCTCGGATTCGTATTCGGGTCTGATACGGGTTGGGGTGTTACACACAACCTTAATGTACTCACATACTTTAAGTTCTTAGAAGTGTACGATGGGCTATTAAAAGAGATAACATAATTAAAGTGTATGTGATGTTATGTTTGTTGCTTTGTGAAATGTGTTATATGATGTATATAAATGTTAAGTATCAGATTATATGATAAACGGGATTAATGATAACAAAATATGACAACGATAGGAATGTTAATGATGATATATGTGTATGTATGTATTTCTTATATGAAATGTTATATGATTTGGTATGATATTATTGTATGAAATGTTGTTGTATTGTTATGTAATTAAGTTTCCATTATACTTTTTATATGCCTCACTAAGTCATCGACTTAGCGTGTGAATGTTTCACGTAGGTTCCGAGAAGATTAAGGAGCAAAGATAGGCAAGTCAGGTTAGCTTCTCATTTTCAAAGATCATATCAAAAATTAATGTAAGTATACGTATTTTGTTATAGTAAATGCAGTTGGCATGTAATTAAAGATTTGAATAAGATATGCTCTGATCGATTTTGTAAAATCATATGATTGTAATTAATGTAAACTATTCAGTTTTATTGAAATATAAATTAGAATTTTAACTATTTTGTAAGAGTAAATGTTTTGAAAAGTCAATGTGACACCTCGGATTCGTATCCGGGTCGGGTATGGGTTGGGGTGTTACAATATCGATAATTTCGGAGATTTGAATGAGAAATTGATCCAAACGTTGTTGAGGAAAACGTGGAATCAATTATTGGTTCATAAATGTGCAGACGTGCACACTATGAGTAATGTAAATAACTGAACTAGTTGTGCCCTCCATGGGATTGCTGATATTTTAATCCAAATTTAAAATATTTTTCTTAAATAAAGCATATCTTTTCAAAATTATGTTTTTGGAACTAAAATGATAAATATTAAAAGTTTCCTTTAATCAAAACAATAATTTTAGAAGTTGATTAATTCTCATTAATGCTTCATTAGGTCAAAAAATTCAATAGTTCACAATGTGAAACCCCTATAAATACCATGTAAACATGTTAGGTTAAAAAACTTATTACAACTCAAAAACAATTAAAAAATTTCTTTTCTTTTTCTCTAATTTTTTGGTGATAGATGAAGGCAAAAGAAAAGTTCGTGATCTTTACATAAGTGCAACTGTAATTGATCATCTAGTTGTTGTATCTTGAGAGACAGACGACCAATGATCTCAAGCACCATAGGAGTGGTCGAAAATAAGTCTTAAGGAAAATGTGTAGCTGTCAGCCTCAACTTGTTTCCAATCGATTGTTCTGTCAAAAAAGTGTATTTTTTCTATATTGTGCTTTTGATTATTTAAATATTTGTTCTTTTTTATTGTCTCGTATTGTTATATTTAAATATTTTTTAGTACCTAAACTTTCATTTTTTTCAAAACTATATATAACGTTTAGTTTTTATTCCATTTTAGTACCACATACATTTTCCCCTGCCACAACCCACTCAAATGGGTATTATTATTTTGAAATCATCATCACATGCTGGTTTGAGCAAAATGACAAGGAATGAAAAAGACTATCCCACTAACGGGGTTGGTTTAAGTGGTAAGCAGCTTGATATCACTTAAGCAATGTTTCAGTTTTGAGTCCTTGTGTATGTAGAAAATCTCCGCTAAGAGACTCACCTATCAAAGTCAGTTGTGCGACCTGGGTCGATCTATATTAGTCAAGACGAAACCTTAGAACGGGAGAAAAAAAAAACTAGCCCACAAGCGCCGTTGATCCTGGCCTTATTTTGTGTGAAAATATATTTTATTTTAGAGTCATGTTCAAATGTTAGTAACAACATAATTTAAAAGGATAATTATAAATCTTAAATATAAATCACAAAAATACATTAAAAAATCTTATACCGTTCATGTTCAGATATTATTTGGATTAATAGTGGCATGTCAAATGCCATTCGAAGTTTAATAAATTTTAATGTATACATTCAACAAAAAAATCATATACCGTTCATGTTAAGATATTATTTAGATTTTTGGTTTTGATATTAAATCTAAAAGATATTTCTGCTACATTATCATCTTAGGTTTAATGTGTTTTATTTTATTTTATTTCATTTATGTATATAAAATTTAAGTTTTAACAATTAGGATCCTTTTAAAGAAAACTAGAAGTAGATGTATTAATCCAGTAGATAAAATTGGAAATCTCAAAGAAAATGATAGAAAAGAGTACATTTTGTTTATAATTATTATTCTGCAATTCATTCTTCTTCCCCTTGGGCGTCAATGTCGCCTCCCCATTTCTTTATCCTCTCCTCCGCAATTGAAGCCTACAATAATATATACAGTATTTACAATTTTGTTACTTATATAAATATATATGTTCAATTATTATTATTTGCTTACCTCTTTGTTCCAGTTGGTCTTGTAAATTATTCCAAATAGTACACAAGTTTGCACCACTGTTCCTAATAACATCCCACACCAAATTCCCTGCCAATAAAAGTTTATTATTTTGATTTTTTTATCGATAATATCAGATAATTTGACGTTTATCAATAAGAAGATAACACGTACCTTAACACCCATATGAAGCACGAAACCTAGTGTAAGACCCAAAGGAACTCCAAAGAGATAATAACATGCAATGTTTACGTATGCAACAGCAGTTTGCCATCCAGCTCCGATGGCCATTCCTATAGAATAAATGATAGTCAAATTTGCATATATTATGGATTTGTTAATAAGAATGAGATGCTACAATCAGCTAAAGATGTACTATAAACCTGAGAGGACAGGTTGCACGGTGTCGATGATGATGCAAAGGGCCAAGAGTGGAGTGAGCTCCGTGACCAGACGTTGAACTTGCGAGTCATTTGAGAACAGATAGGGATATTCATTCCTAAAGATGATGAGAACAATAGAGATTACGGCACCAATCATAAATGATGATGTCACCGCCACTACCAATGAGAGTTTTGCCGTTCTTGGATGCCTTGCTCCCAATTCATTTGAAACCCTCACACTGTAACATTCAAGAACGAACGTAATATTTTTGTCAAGGATATGAACATAAAAATTTATATAGAAATTTTCAAAGATACGATTGCAACTCCAACACTTCTCAATTCATTGTCTAAATATTTATAATAATTTTATAAATAAATTAAGATTATCATGCTTGTAGGTTGAATATTATTACCTTATAGCTGCATTCATCCCGAAAGATATCATGATGGTCCATCCCAGTATGTTCATACTGCACAATTCAGAATTTAATGTATATAATAATGATTAAACAAACAAAGTTACAATGATTAGTTATAAAGAAATGCAAGAGACGTCAAGTTAGAGAATGAACTAAAGGAACTAAGGTTGGAATTATGGGACTATTTGAAACTTTAGGAGGAGGTCTGGAGACAGAAAGCTAGATCGAGGCCAAGTGGTCGGGGAAGGGTACGCTAAAGGTTGTATTGCCCTCAAAGACGGTGTGGAAGTGGTTAGTGGATGTGGAATCAAGGCCATGGAACCGGTGGCAATTCTTAATAGAGATCGACAGGTTGGTGAGTTTCATTGAAGATGTTCATTTCTCCACTTCCAGCTGGCAACTTTCTTCTTTGGCTCATCATATGGCGATGGAAGATGGGAAGTCTTTTCATCTTTGCTGGTGGGATCGATCGGAGGACTTCATATAAGCTGTCGTGGTTTAGACGGGGATTATGTTTCAATGCATCAATGATGTTAGTAATATTGTGGTGGCCTACGTGTATCCCAGCTTTTTGTTTTTTAGCTCTGCGCTTCTTTTTTTGTCTTGTAGATAGGAGAGCGTTGTACTGCCTGAGGGGATATGGTGTATCAGTGTGGCTAAAGTTTTATTGGTGTTTATTTGTCCAGTCAAAAGTATTTTTTTCTTCCATTTAGGTCTAAGGATGTTTTTAACTAGACTCTTTAGGCTTGATTAATAAAAATCATTTTACTGAGAAAAATAAAAAAAAAAATTATAAAGAAATGTACTCACCAGACAGATAATGCATCTACGGATACTACTTCAGCGTCCTTTAAGTATCCAGCGAACAGAATTAATGCCATGAAATACCAAATCTCTAAGCTGCAAATCATTTATACCAATTGTTAAATCCATTTGGAATACGCGTCATTCGATGAGAAAAGAAAGCAATAACTATATTTTATAATTGAAAAAAGACCCCACATGCATATGCCTACTTTGTTTTATTTGCTTTTCAAAAGAAGAGTAAAAGATTTGAGAATAGAGTCGCATCTACTTTAATCAAATTGTTATAGATATCTAAATAAAAACAATAATTTTAAGTACTCGTTTTGATAAAAAAAAATATTTTAATACTTAAATAAAAATTAATATACTTTAAAGTCATATTTTCAAAATCAATCCTTTTTTCTTAAAACAAATAAAAAAAATCTGAAAGATTTGTTTTTATTCCAACAATGAACCTGAAAAGGACCTTACCATAGCATTACTGCCGAAGCTAAAGACAATCTGACAAATCCCCATAGATGTTGAAATGCCTTCCAAGAAAACCCGGTCCAAGCCGGCCCACAAGTGCCGCTAATTATGTACAAAAACTGAGCCACGTCTATGAAAATCCACGACATATTCAAAACAACGGCTGCGCCCACCAGTCCCCATCCCAGCCTCAACATCAAGAACCAGCTGAGTACAACGTGCAGGACCAAAGCCACACCGGCTATCACCGCCATCGCCGTCATCTTGCTCTGAGCCTGTAAGAACTTCGCCATCGGAAAGTTAAATGAGTAAGCAAACAGCTGCGGTATCATCCATATCGAGAACATTCCGGCGGCCTTTGATATGGTTTCCGTTTGACCTATTAGCCTCAAAATCGGAGCGGCGAATATGTATAGTAAGCTTAGGAGCAAAGCCGTTGAGTTGAGGATGACCCATGATCTTTGCATATATACGCCTAGCATATCGTGCTGCCCTGCTCCAAATGCCTGGCCGCATAGAGTTTCCAGTGCACTTCCCATGCCGAGCTATTCATAAGGTGTAATTACTTATTTCGAATGTAATTAATGGGAGTTTAAAATACAACTAGTTAACATAAATCTAAAAAAATTGTAATCGGAAAATTTATTAGAAGTGTGTAATTTTTCAAAATAAATTGGATAAATTTTAAGTTAAAACAAAAAATATTACATTCTTCCTGATAGATCATGTAGATTGCATAATTATACTAGTTATAACTTAAAATTTATGTCAACAAATTAATGTAATTTTTTTGTTGTAATCGAAATCATTATCGATATTGTAATATTTTAGAGTTGATAATATAATATTTTACCTTGAAATCCGTTACAATATTGAAACACTCTCTATTATAAATAAAATCATTAGAAATTATATAACATTTTATAATATATATATATATATATATAAATATAATATTTTAGGTTAAAATTACTCTAAAATAACTTTAGTTCCGCCGTTCAGCAAAACTACTTAGTAGTAGCTAACTTAACAACAAAATCAAAACTGTTGACAATGGAATTTTAGTTTACAAATTTACCATGATGCCGAAGGAGAAACCAGCGATGACGGAGTTCTCGACGGTGACGGCGGCAAGAGACAGAGCACCATCTTGGCCTGAAAAGACCTGAGTTATAGCGCCGAGGGAGTATTGGCAGATGGAAGTGAAGATGGCGGGGCCAGCAAGGAACCAGAGCTTCTTGGACTCGATCAGACATTCCCTGAAGAAGTCACGGACGCCGTTGATCGGTGGGATGTCTTCAGTGCCGACGGTGAAGGAGCCGTTTGAGGGTTTAACAAGTAACTGCTCCTGGCGGCGGCGGCTGTCCTCTCCGACTAGCCGAGGGGAAAGGAGCGATTGCTTAGCGTCCTCCATAGGAGACGATAAAGAGCAAGAAATGGGATATAATATGATATATAATCAATTATGATTATGGAGGTGTACAGGTCAATACATATAGCCAATATGATTTTATAGAAGGTGGCATTGGGTGGAGAAATGTGATACATTAATGTATGGTCCAAATTTAGTTAGGAAAATCAAAGTTTGTTTTATATTTTATTATATTTCCGTGTATACTTCCATTTACAGACCAACTCTAAATTCAAAAATGTTATAACAAAAAATTTAGTAACGTTTAAAATTCATTTTTTTTTTTTGAAAAATCTTTTCTTATAAAATCGGATTTAGAAATAACAAGTTTAAAAGTAATTTTTTTATAAGTAGAAATTAAAGAAAACAACTAAAAACTACATAAATTCCTCATAGTGAGGACCTGATCGGTCCTTTTGAATAATTTCCTGCATCTTAATATGAACAATAATCATAATATGAAGAATAATAGTAATAATTGTCATACAATTACAATCAATAAGCTCTATACACGAATGGCAACAAATTACTTGAAATCCACGTATCACTCTATTGATATATATTTAGCAATGTTTTTAAAATCGGATCGGGCCTTAAATCGGTGAAGGTACTGGTTTAATCATGGTTGAACCGGGTTATATAAAATAATATTTTTTTAAAAAAATTTACATAATATTAAAAGTAATATTATATATATATATATATATATATATATATATAACACTCTTTTTAAGTTCACAATATTAAAAAGTATAAAAATATCACAAGTCATAACATATATAAGTTAAATACCATAAAATCAAGTGAACCAAAATGATTCAAATCAACTACAACATAATATTTAAGGTCAATACCTAATGAAATTCATCAACAACTAAATAAAAAACCATATATAATTGATACAAGTATCAATCATCATAATCAGAAAATAAATTTATGGTTGAAAAAAAATCATAACAAATGACGTCGTTTGGTTTATTTTTTTTATAAAAAAAAACATAACCGGTGAACCGGCCGGTTCACACTGGTTTTGCCGGTTCTTGACCTATTCTACCGATTGTTGACCGGTTCGTTACAAAATTGGTTTTATAGGGTGACCGGACCGGATAGTCAACTGGTTCTCGGTTTAACCGATCAAACCGACCGATCCGATCCGATTTTAATAACACTGATATTTAAACTTTTAGGACATTGCTTTTATGAGATTTTATATTATATGATATTGCGTGTATTACTTTATTGATATATGAATTCTTACTATTAAATTTTATGAGTTTTCGGTTGTTGTTTTATAAACATCGTTAATCTATTTTGACACTTTAATTAAAATTTTATATGATAATCAATAATGATTTAAAACAAAATCAAAATTGTATTAGTGTAATATCAGAGATTTGATGAAAACGTCTGAACTAAATTTACGAAATTTCATTATATTTATTTGTTATATGTGTATTTTGATAAGTTTGGTATAAGTAATTTGCATTTAAAATGAAATTTAGATATAATATCAAATTTTAAAACCTCGAAAAGTATGCAATTTTTTTTAATATATGATGTTATAAAATATATTTTTATATGATGTCAATATTTTTATAAAATAAATATATTTAATCTAAATATCATCCATGTAACAATGATTTAATTTTGTGTAATGATTCAATCTTGGACCTTTTTATAAGGTTATCAAGTTTGAATCATTTTAAGTAGATAGTTGTTCATTTTTTATTGTTTAGTGATATATGTCATTATTTTATTAAAGAGTCACATCAACATTAACCAAAATGAAAGCAAAACTGATAACTCTAAATTCTTTACTTGTTTCATTTTAATTTGACGATGTTGTCATCAATTTATTTATTATCGTCAATTTCATGTAAATTCCATTTCACGCGCTGCGTCGAAAGTGGGATAACAGTATGGGTATATATATCGTAATAAAGCACAACACAATTACCTAGAAGAGTACAAGACTTGCTACAGAAACGTCCGTTGCACCTCAGCTGATTGATTTGCCTACTTCTTGACTCGCTCACCAAGCTCACGTATTAACCTTTATTTATATATATTTTTTGAATTCATCTGGTTAAGGTTGTTGATGGGATCGGCGGAGGAGAACAGAATCGAGGATGAGTTGTCTTATCCGATTTTGCTAGCTGAATGGGTTCGTGCGGCGGCGGAAGAGGCGGAGTCGTTTAAAGTCGATTGTGCGGAGGTCGGGAAGCAAGTAGATCGGCTTTCCCAAATGCTTTGAACCCTAGTCCGGTCCACCACCTCGGTCCAGTCCCTCTACGAACGCCCGATTCGCCGGTAGTCTCCGAGGTTTCGAAGAATCTAGAGCGAACACTCACTTTAGTTCGTAAGTATAAGCGCCAGAGCATCTTGCGGCGAGTCGTGAGGATTACGAGCGCCACCGATTTTCGCAAAGTGTCTGTCCTTCTAGACGCTTCCATCGGCGACATGTGGTGGCTCATGGGGGTCCTCGACACCGAGAACAATGGAACCGCTAGCGGAATCTTCCTTTCCCTCCCTCCAATCGCCAGCAACGACCCGATCATTTCATGGGTTTGGTCTTACATCGCCACCGTTCAAATGGGCCAATTGACCGATCGAATCGAGGCCGCTAATAACCTCACTTCCCTCGCGAGGGACAACGACAGAAACAAAAAGATAACCGTCGAAGGAGGCATCCCTCCTTTGTTGAAACTTCTTAAAGAAAGCTCCTCACCGGAAGCCCAAATCGCGGCGGCTAATGCGCTATTTGTTTTAGCGATCGAGCAGGGAAGAGTTAGGAGTATTGTTGATGAAATGGGGGTTCCAATTGTGGTTCAAGTGTTGGGAGATTCCCCGATGAAAGTTCAAATTCAGGTAGCGAAATTGGTGGCGGCAATGGCGGAGCATGATCCACTAGCTCAGGAGGATTTCGCCAGAGAGAATGTGATTAGGCCATTGGTGACTCTGTTGTCGTTCGAAATATTTGTGGAAGATTCTAAGACACAGTTGGGTAAGCAAAACATTCATTCTATAGTTCAGATAAATAAAGAATTGGAGAAATTTTCTTCAACTGGAACGAATTCAAGGAATTATAGTTATAGACCGTATGCTTATTCGTACTCGAATTTACATATGGAAGGGAGTAGTAGGGGAGGAAATCATAGGAAAGAAAGGGAAAATGAGAAGCCTGAAGTTAAAATTCAATTGAAAATTAACTGTGCTGAATCATTATGGTTGCTTGCTAAAGGGAGTGTCTCGAATAGTCGGAGGATAACCGAGACAAAAGGATTGCTTTGCTTGGCGAAGTTGGTGGAGAGAGAACAAGGTGAATTGCAATATAATTGTTTGATGGCAATAATGGAGATTACAGCTGCTGCAGAATCCAATTCCGATCTTAGACGTGCGGCTTTTAAGACGAATTTACCTGCTGCTAAGGCTGTTATTGATCAGCTTTTGAGGTTGATCAAGGAATTAGATAGTCCTACACTGCAAGACCCTGCTATAAAATCGGTTGGTTCATTGGCAAGGACTTTCCCAGCTAGGGAGACTCGAGTAATCGGTCCTTTGGTGAAACAGCTCGATAATAAGGATCAAGAAGTGGCAGTGGAAGCTGCCATTGCATTGCAGAAGTTTGCATGTCCAGATAATTTCCTCTGTATGGATCATTCCAAGTCGATAATCGAGTTCAACGGTGTTCCACCTCTAATGAGATTGCTTAGGTGCGGTGACAGGGCGCAGCTGCATGGGGTGGTGATAACGAAGCTTTGGAACAAGCTAGGGTTTTGAATGCCATCGAGGGGGCAGACCGGACGGTGGTTGCGCACCATCCCAATTTGAAAGAATTGGTGACAGGGGCCATATATCAGCTCAACCTTTATCACGCCGGAGTCCATCCACAGAGGCAAATGTATGCACCTTGAATTTGGTTTGAGACAAATATACACATTTGGGTCGGTTAGAAAAAGAAGAAAGAATAGTTTGGTCAAAGGTGACAGGTCTTTGCTTAACTATTATACACTGTTCAAAAATACTTAGATGCTTCTTTAGTGGACATAAAATTGGTTGTGAATATTTCCATTTTGGTTATATGGACATTGAATATTTCCTCTAGTGGCGATGCTCAAGAGAATATTGGGTTTGTAATTAATGAGAAAAAGAATGGAAATTGAACATTTTACTACTCATCTTGTGTGCTCATATTTTTATATAATTACTGTTGCAACTTTAACATTTTAATATGTATTGAGAAATAATACTAAATTTCTAAAGCAGAGTCAAGCCCAAACGATTTGGGTGGCTGCTAAAATTTTGTCCCCAAAGCCCACACACATTAATGTTTTTTTACTTCTCATTTTTAGACGAAGAAAACAAGTGTTTAAAGTAAGATTAATAGATATCACATTTTTGTATCTACAGGCAGTAGTTGCAGCATTTAGAGTGACGTCATTGATTTTTTTTTACATAAATTAAAGTAATTAATTTTATTAAGAATAAAAATATCTAAAATTGGAATGAGAGTGTATAACTAAACTGGTAAACTAAATGTATAATTATATATATTTTTATAATTATTAAAATAAAAAATTGACCACTTAAAATCATATAAAGATCAAAGTAAAGGTAAAAGATTCCAAAAAAAAACCTCACACAATAGGTAGATACTGACATATTTTATTATTATGTCAAACGAATCACAATATGAGATTAAACTACTAAAAGATCTTCAAAAAATATAAAATTAGAGTCAAGTATCGTGAGAAAACTATGTACGAATACTTACTGCACATCAAATTTAATTCGAGGTCCAAACATAGAAGATCTATAGGATAACAAACGAATATCATTTTGATCAGTCACATCGATATCAAATTTAACCATAAAAACAAAAAAAATCAAACGACAAAAAAAATCTAAAAAAGCATACCAAAGACAAATAAAGTTATACTATAAGAATAGGCAAAATCATGTCATAAATATAGAATTATTTGATACATTGTTACAGTAATGGACTAATGGATGGGCGGAGATAGTCTCTTTTTAAAAAATTTAAATTACTATATATTTTAATTTTTTTATGTATTTTATATTAAAAATTATTTTTGTCCCTTAATTTTTTATAAGTTCATCTCCTATTAAAATTTTAAAAGTTCGTTTTCTAACATAAAATCATGTGTTTATCCTTGCAATGTTAAAGAAGAACTCTATAATATAAAATAATTTTTAAATAGATTTAAAAATAAATAATAAAATATTTAACATCATTTATATATTGCTTATAAAATTATTATTTTTTTCGCATGATAAGCATTTTAACTCTGATTTTTTAATTTCATTATCATTGTACATAGTAATATCCTTTTAATAAAAATCTTAAATTAAAATGATAATTTTTATAATTACTATATGGTACATTATAAATGGAGTTCTCTTTTTCAACGATCTTTTACTCAAGTAACTGTTGAATAACAGTCTCTATTTTCAAAGAATCTCAATTTAAGTAATTATATTTATATGATGTGTGTATAGTTAATTAATAATTTTTTTTGAATAGATATTATTTTATAATCACTCTAAATTATTGAGAAAAAACTCTCGTAATTATCAAAGGTTCGTATTAATTTAATATTTACAATTATTTTATTAGTAAGAGTTGAATATAATGTAGTATTATTCAACTATTTAATATTGAATGTTCATATATTCATACAGACGTCATGATTAAAATAAAATCTCTAAGAGTAAAAATAATTTTTTAAATACTAAGATAGTTTGATTTGTATAAATTAAAAAATTTAATTTCAAGACACATCGAAATGAATGTTAAGATTTATTTAAAGTTTTAAATTCTAAATCTTAATTAATATAATATTAGCTACCGCTCGGTTATAAACACTCATTCAGAAGAACTCAACATTCATGTATGCTGATATTATTTTGTAATTTGAAATTTACCTTTACACCCTAATGAATACAACATGAATTAAACTCGACGGTGTCGAGGTTTGTTTAATTTCAATTTGTGGTTTCAGTTTAAGTAAGACATTTTGGTGGGTTGTCGAGGCTTAGATTTTATTTTTGTGATTTGTGGGCATGCTTTTGAAAATTGGGTAACTGATAGTCGGAAAAAGGGGACAATGAGTGGCATTTTGGTGCAAAATTTGGGTCCAATTAGGACTTTGACACTGGTCCTAGGTGACGAGGGCTAGCATGGGAATTTGAGTGACCCAAATGTGTCACATCACATATCATTACATTTACATTTAAAATTAGAAATAATTAATGAATTCGGATATAATTTGCAATAAATTATGATGGATATTATGTGATGAATACACTGAGATTTGGACAGTCTGTTTGTATAGCTTTAGCTAGGTGGCATGTGTCAGATTCAAAGCTGACCATAAAAAAGATTAAATAGAAAAACAATCGATGATTATTAATCGCTCCTTTGTTCTGTATGTATAACGTGGGATTCTCTCCGGAAATGCGGTTAATATATAACATTATCAGATATATTAAAAGATATTTAATAAATTTAATTTATTGTTATTTATTATGTAGACAGATTAATAATGTTTTAGGTAGAAAATATGAAAAATTATTAAAAAATTTGGTAACCAGTAAACTTTGGTTATCGATAAGTATAGATATATATATATAATTTCACTGTGAAAAATATTAATTTAAAGTTATCTTTTGAGTGAGTTTTAAGATATTAATTTAGTAATTATACGCGTCTAATGATTTATTTTTATGTTACGATATATATTATTATTAAATTAAAAATAATAAACATAGATATTACATATTTTTTATTATCTTTGATTAAAATTGTTAAATTTAAATTCTAAATAATATTTTATAAAATATCAAAACAATCAAATAATTTTTTGTGTAAATGAAATTATTAAATTAATATTGTAGATGGAAAACATGAAGCAGTATTAAAATTTTTTGAAACATAAATTACATAACTTTCAACAAAGTATCGGTATATTTTTATAAAAAGAATTGATACTTTCAACATATTAGGTAAATTTTACGGGTTTTTTCATAATGAAACTGATTTTGTCATATTTTTACATGTTATATTATAAAGTATCGATCCTTTTTATAAAAATGATCGATACTTTCAACATATTAGGTAAATCTTACCGATTTTCTCATAATGAAACTGGTTTTATCATATTTTTACATGTTATATTGTAAAATATCGATCCTTTTTATAAAAAGGATCGATACTTTCAACATATCAGGTAAATTTTACCGGTTTTTTCATAATGAAACTGATTTTGTCATATTTTTACCTGTTATATTGTAAAAAAAGGATCGATACTTTCAACATATTAGGTAAATTTTCCCGATTTTATCATAATGAAACTGGTTTTGTCATATTTTTTACCTGTTTTATTGTAAAGTATCGATACATTTTTATAAAAAGGATTAACACTTTCAACATATCCGGTAAATTTTATCGGTTTTGTCATAATGAAACTGATTTTGTCATAGTTTTACCTGTTATATTGTAAAGTATTAATACATTTTTATAAAGTAACGATACTTTATAGGCGCTATTACTGCTTTTCTTTTAAATTCCAAAAGTGTCAATACTTATTTAAATGGAATCGATACTTTCAACATATCCGGTAGGTAGTTTAAAGTAATAGGTAGCGCCTATTTTTTTTACCGTTTACATTATTATACTTGATAATGTTTCCAGTAAATAACCGGTTATGTTATCATTGATAATATTTTTGATGTTTACCTAATATATTGTAATAACAAATTAAATAATTAATATATTTTATTATATAAGCGTTACATATTGCGTTATATAAGCGGTACCTAATATGTTATTGTGCTTGATAATGTTTTCAGTAATTAACCTATTTTATTATATAAGCGCTACCTATTACATTATATAAGCGGTATCTAATATGTTATAGTGCTTGATAATGTTTCCAGTAATTAACCTATTTTATTATATAATCGCTACCTATTACATTATATAAGCGGTACCTAATATGTTATTGTGTTTGATAATATTTTCCAGTTAAATGATATAATATAATCGATCTAAATTTTAACCAATCACTTATTTAATCGATCACACCGATTTTAATCGATTTTTAAACGCCGCATTGCAGTACTTCCTTGTATAATGTAAATTTAGATAATGTAGTAAATCTTTGTACTCTCTTAATTCTCAGCACATTCTTACATGATTTACCCCATTGTCCCCTTGTCTCCTTCAACAGTACAAGTGTGAAAGAGACTCAAGATGAATGTATTACTTGAAAGAAAGCTCCTTTTTAAATAATAATAATAATAATAATAATAATTATTATTATTATTATTATTTAAACATTCAACGACAAAGTAGCCACCCACATCCCATGTGGGTCTCCAATAACGCCACTATGTATTTGACTTATTGGGTGTAGTTTAATGAAATAAATATGATCCAAAAATTGAAATATTATTGCTTCAATCAAATAGCTCCGATCCCCATAAAGCTTGGTTTAAGTTTTTTTAAGATGAAATTTCATATTATCAATAATAAGTATAGATTAATAGTTAGCAGTATAAAGTTATCATGAGAAATAGAGATGCATATTCAAATGCAAGTGACATTGTTGGTGTTGCAGAACTTAAGGGGGTATTGGAATTGAGAGTAAATTAACGTCCATCGATACCCTTGCATAGGACATGAACTAAATAATCTTGATAGTAAAAGAATTATTATTTATTTTAGGTTTAAGGTTCGAAAATTATAAATATAAGAAATGTGAGTGTTTAATATCAAATAGTTAATAATTATCTTTTAAAAACTATTATTTTATAATCGTATTATATTAATAAAAAAAGCTTGCATAGGATTCGAACTCATTACTTACAACACGTGTTCTGTCCCCTTATATTGAGTTATATGGAAAAAAGTGAAGAGCATTACAAAGAACCTTCCCACTTTCTTAAGAGTTAGAAGTGGGTGATGGGGCAGTGAAATGCCAAGTTTAAAGTCTAAAACAAGAGATAATGTGCAGAGACTTCCCACAGTGGGTCTTGTATGCCAAGTGTTTTGTGGGAATTTGTCTCAGTCAATGGGCTGGTACATTGGAACATCCTTCTACTGTCTTCTTTACCCATTGCAAATAGTGATTGGGAGACTTTAATTATGATAATTATTTGCGGAAGAGATCACGAGAAAATCCGAAAGAAATATAACGACACTTTCTTCTTTTTACCCACTTTTGGCATAAGTTGTAGAAGTGTAGAACCATTGCTAGATGTTGACTTGCATGTGTCTCCCCTCATCGACATGAAAATAAATTAACCCCATAGAGTGCTAAAGAGATTTAACAAGCCAGAAAAAAAACTAGTTAATTACTACTACAGATATAAAATCTAAAAAGGTAAAAGAAGTTACATTTCGACATGTTATTCATCAAAGAATTCCATCTGTACGTAAACTTCTAGTGGTCACTACCATTAAAAAAAACACCTATAATAAAAAAACATGATAAGCCCATTACAAGAGAGGTAGAGAACTTTTATGCAATTCGTTAACTCTTTAAACATGGCGGCGTATGAAGACAGTGTCCAACTCTGGTGGAGTAAAGAACTCTCTAGCACCCCCGTAATTACACTTCAAAGTAGGTTTTCTCTTCGTCGGAGGAGGTGGACATGTCAACGACGTCGGAATTCTGGCTTCCTGTCCCGTTGGAGTGGTGGAACTGGAACATGATTCTTCTTCGTCTTCTTCTTTATCATTAATGGCGGTTTCTGTATCTTTGTGATGATCAACAGGAATAGTGTAAATAGACTTCAATGGAGCTCGTAAAGAGATGCCGGCAATGACCCATTTTTTGGCATCGGATTCCAACACTCCTCCATCAACTTGAAGCTTCCCTGGAACCCCCATATCCAAACCAAAAGTTCCAAGCTTGAAGATGACTGTAAATACTATAAGCGAATAAAGATGGTGAAGATACTAATTTTTTTTACTTATTTTATTTATTTATTTATTATTATTATTATAATAATTATTATTATTATTATTATTAAAAAATAATTACAGGCCAAATGAAAACTGGACCGGCCCAGTTACAAACAACCAAAACCGGTCCAGACCAAAATAAAACCCTAAATATTTAGGGTTTCAGCTAGGGTTTCTAAACCCTAGCACTGTTGCCGTCGCCGCCGCCTCCAAGAACTCCCAACAGCCGCCTCTGCCGACAATTCCCAAGTCAGATGGTCCAACCAGTTGCTGCCGACGCCTTGCTGCCACGCCCCCGCCTCAAGGAACACTCCAGAACGCCAGATGGCAACCAACAGCCTTCCCTACAGTGAGTCACCAGCCTAGCTTTGGTGACTCACCGAACTTTTCATCCTTCAGACCGGTCCGAGCAAGCGACCGAGATAGCTATAAAGCCATCGTACCTGCAAAAATGAAAAAAAAAGGGAGGATAACCGAAAGACAGGGAGAACAACAGGAGAACCCAAAGCAACCCAGCAACCACAAAACACTAAAATAATCAGGAAAAGACGGAGAGATATTTACCGAGGAAGCCACGCCATCACCGGAATTCATACGAACCTCCACGCGTCACCGAAAACCTTCGAAAACCAAAGGTATTTTCTTAGATTTACTCCGATCAGGAGCCATTTAAGGAATAAAGACACCAGAACCGTCATTAGGACGGTCCAATCTACATTTTTGGTGTAAAAATGATATTTTCAGCCACCGGATGCGGTGGCTGGCGGTGGGGATTACGGCGGCAGACGGCTGCCGGCCGATGACTGGCTTCCCTCAGCTAGAGAGAAGCGAGAGAGAATTCTCTTCTCTCTCAGTTAGAGAGAGAAGAGAAAGAAGAGAAATGAAACGCTGGCCCTTCGAGCCAGCTGGAAGGGGATTATATACCCCTTCCCAAACGACGCCGTTTTGGGGAGGGGTATATCTGTAATTTTGCTTTCGGATAAACTATTCCCGCAGCCACTGTAACTTTAAAAAGTTTCAATTTGATCCTTATAGCATGTTTTTATATATTATAATTCGATCTAGTAATTTTATTTCATTTTATTTTAGTCCTTTACATAATATAATATATATATTTAGGATAAATACCTAATTTAGTCCCTTATAGTTTAGTAATTATCATTTTAACACGAATTAATTAAATAAGGATAAATTACATTATTAGCACTTATATCTTTTTATTATTCGAGTTAGAGTCTTTAATTTTAATAATTATAATTTTAATCACTTATTAATAATTAGGTTTAATTACATCATTAGTAATTATATTTTTATAATACTATAAATAAGGGCTATAAATTTTAATATTTTATATTATTTTAATTTTATATGTTTTAGTCACTAATGTTAATTATAAGTCTTATTGCTTTTTTATACTTATTTTTAAATTTATTTATCTTACTCATTATTTATATTTTAATTTTTATATGTTTAAATTATTATTTTCATTATTATTATATTAAAATAAATTATTTTAAAAAAATGTTTTTAATTATTTATTTTATTTTTTAATATCGAAGAAAAGAGCTGTCTTAAAACACCTAGAAGTCATTTTCTGATATTTCTAAATAAATAAATATTTTATTTATACATATTAATATATTTTCTTTAAATTATTTGAAATAACATAATTATGAATTAAATATATCTTTGAATTTCTAAATTTCCAATAATAGAGACAATTTATAATTAAAAAGTACCAATTTTGGGCGTTGTAGGGGTGCTAATCCTTCCCTAAACGTAACCGACCACGAATCCCTTTTTATTTCTAAAAAAGAATGAATTTTTGGTTATACGCAGATCAGTTTATCTTTTAACTGATGTTTTCTTAAAAACTCTTTTAAAAGATAATTTTAAGGTATTCAACCTACCTGACCCAAAAGGCCGATGGCGACTCCCAAAACATTTTAAAACTATTTATTCATATCACTTTTTCCGCCAAGTAAAAATTCGTGCCCGGACGAAAACCGGTTACGACAGCTTGGTGACTCTGCTGGGGACCTGGTCAAACTTTTAAAATCAATTATAAATTGTCTCTATTAATTATAAATTAAAAATTCATATATTTAATTTTTAATTCTTTTCTTTCAAATTTTTTATTACTTATATTATTTTATTAATATTCTTTTTATTTTATTCAGGTATTAATTATTTTATTTGTTTGTTAGAGTTTTGAACATTTTTCCTCACACACAACACTTACATTGCATAACATAAAGCTCTATAATTGAGCTTGTCCCTTTTAAGTGGGAGTGAAAGCGACGTCTTCGTGAGAATTTATTCTCCGTGTCAGACCTAGCAAGTAACTTTCGGGGTTTATATGCTCTATGTCTTCGTGAAAATTTATTCTCCGTGTCAGGCATAGAGAAATGTGTCCCCTCGAATTGAACTCGATCCGCTTAAGTCTGTAATGGACTAGGATTGAGGGTTTGATAGCCCAAGGGGGCATCAACAAGGACAGTTCGAGTACCTTTACTCCTAGAACTGAAACTCTGCATATAATAAACCCTAGAAATTCACCTGATCTAAGATAGTACTGAACCTCTGTTCATAGGTGTACACAAAGGAAAAATAAGTTCTAATTTTTTTTTGTCTTTTAATAAATGCATGCGAACTATAAATCATGTTGTTAGGTTAATTTTTACAAACAAAGCATGGAACTAGGAAGCATGAGGTTAAGATTTATACATTGATAGATAGAATTTTTATTTCTATTAATTGGTACTAACCAATTTCTTTTTTCACTTCTCATTTTTTTCATACATATTGTTTGCTTTAAACTTGTTTATATTTGATTTCTTTTGTTTGCATTGCATGACCATGGCATAATCAAAAGGTGTTGACTTGAAAGACTGTTCATCAAATTGGAAAGAAATCGTAAATGGACAAAAAGTTTTGTGATCAAACAAAATATGATGCGACCAAGGAAAGACATCCTGAAGAAACTCTGAAGATAGAAATGAGCAATGCACACAGAGATCCTGTTATATTAATACCAAAAGTACTCTACAAAGATTCTGCCAGATTGATACCAAAAGCAGTCTATGGTAAGAGCATCAGTCAGGGCATTCATAGTGGATGAGGTTTTTATGAAGCTCAAGCATGTTATTTGAAGGACTTGAACGACCAAAACAAAAAATTGAGCACAGAAATGAAAACCATGCAGGAAAATTTTCAGAAGATCAGTCAAGTCTTTCAAAATGCTGGCCTAGGAAATACCCCAGAAGAATGGATAACAGGGGTCATCAAGCTGAAAAAGAGCTGCAACATATATGAGGTATCTTGTTCAAGAACTTCTTGGACAGAAAGTTTCTCTTACAAGGGAAAATGAGCAACTCCGAGAAATGACACAGAATATGAAAGAAAATGTCATGGAAGAAGTTGCAGTCCAGACAAGCAATATGGTTCTTAAATGATAGATTTAGCTGACTTTACAAGGAGATGAAGCAGATTGAAGACTCAATGGAAACTAACTGGGCTTTGGAGAAGTTAGAAGTGAAAGATATCCCTATATGTAAAGTTTTGTTTGATGTACCAAAACTTTTGTGTTCAATGAAATCTGTTTCTAAGATGATCACTTTTGAGTAACACCTTTTCATGCATACATTTGCATTTTGCATCCTTGCATTTTTCATTTTGCATTTATACTTTTATATTTGCTTTTGCACTATACAATTTGCATTTTTATTGTTACATTCACATATTTACATTTGCATTTGCATTTTGCATTTACATTTGCATTTTTTTTACGTTTATATTTACATTTTCATAATTACATTTTATTTCAAACTATTTTACATGCATTTAATCATGACAACGTGGAATAATTCGTGGAGAATTCCATGACAGAATCAAAGTGGAGTTAATTTGGTCTTCCTAAAAAAGGATAATAGCCATGAATGAGATTTTAGCAAGGGTTAGTAGAATTGAGAAATTGCAAGAACAATTTATCAAGACTCAACAAGAAATGACTGATCATGCAAAAAAGTTTCAAGATGATTCAAAAGAGCAAATGACCAAGCTGATGAACCTGATGAATGTTGTGATACATGGAGAGAAACCCTTAGAGGATCCTGTTGTGAAAGATTTGAATAGGAATATGAATAATGTAGATGATGCAATGGAAACAAATGACCAGAAATTTACCAAGGAATGTGGAAATTTGATAAATCTCCAAAAATTGGGTATAACCCCAGAAGATGAGACAAAGATCAGGTTGAAGAGAAACATAGAAGAAATTTCAATACCATTAAAGAAAGCTAAACAAAGCAAACATCTAGATCGTAAGTCACAAGTTCTTCAAAAAAGCAAAGAAAATAATTGTAATGTGACAGTGATGTCAGGGGAAATTCTACCCAAGTTTCCTTCAGTTTTATGCAGCAAGTTATATCCTGAGTTACTCAAAGCCCATCTTATTGGCCCATGTCAGGCTAAGCCTTTGTTGCCTCCTTACCCAAAATGGTATAATGAGAAAGTCTTTTGTGAATATCATGCTGGAATCCGAGGACACTCCATCGAGAATTGCGGTAACTTCAAAAGACAAGTTCAAGACCTTTTGGTTCATAAAACCATAAGAGTGGATGTTAACAGTCAATCCATTTTGATCAAACAACCGGGATTCAAACCCCAAAATGAAATTAACACGGTCAAGGCAAATGAAGATCATACAGCAGAAGATATTGAAAAGAAAAAAGGCAAAATTAAGGAATATGAAGTATGTATGACAGATTCAACTCCTGATACTTCTTTGATACTAAAGAATGAAAAAGAAAAAATGAAAAGAGAGGTAATTCGAGATTGGCCCACCAGTTTAAGAATGAATGGGAAAAATGTAACTCTGAAGAAACCTCAAACATTTGTATAAGATGTTCCGAGGACAAGTGAAGCAGTGGGCAATATAAAGAGTCTAGTGAA